ACAATTTGTTTATCACAGATCTAAAAATATTGTGATAATGCAGTAATTCCACGACTATTGCGGGTAGTAGTTTATTTTAGTATTTATTTATACACGTGTGTGTGTATCTGACACACGTGTATAAATAAATACTAAAATAAACTACTACCCGCAATAGTCAGGGAACTACAGCATTATCACAATATGTTTTAGATCTGTGATAAACAAATTGTGATATTTGTTAAACATGTTGCTTGCATCAGTTTGCATTTGTACTTGTTTTTATTGTACACATTTTCAATTTCAAAATCAAATATGTTGCCTTTTAAAATATGGTTGTAAAATATTAAAAAAATAACTGCAATTTTATTGAAGTATAAAGAATTTGTAAAATATTTCACTTTTTTTTTAACGTGGTTATATCTTTACATGTGTCTAAAAGGGGAGGCGATGATAAAGAAGCCAGCTCAGATAAGTACTACATACCTTGGTACTGTGCACTGAAACCTTTTCTTCTGTGGTTGCTGTCTGAGGTGAAGTGCATTCGAAGCCAGTTCTTATTTGATATCACTGGTGAGGGAAGAGCTGTACCAGTCAGCCTGGAGATAAACAAATATAATAATATGTTATTAAAAGCAATAGAAACCACCAGAAGTTAGAACGGCGTTATTCAGTAATTAACAGTTCAAAAATTTTTTTTTAAAGAAACAGGAACAGACTATTTGCAAGGATTGCATCATTAAGTAGTTCACCACACAGAGCAGCTGTAAGAGACGCGATTTTATGTAACGAGTGTCTACTTTTGGACACAAAAGCTGTTTTTATAGCAAATGAAAAGTATTACTTTATGATAGAGACAGTGACTAACAGTTTAAGACAGAAGAACAAATCCTCCTACAGACACAAAATACCAAAACCTTTAGTTAAGGCAAGTGCACTTGGGTCAAGAATGGAAGAAAATGTCTCCATCCTTCTGTGTGAGGTGGAACAAAATGCACCTGAACACAGGAGGAAGGTTGACGAAAAGTGCTGCCATGTAATTACAGGCTGCAGCATTATGGATCGCAGCAAGATCGACCACCGCTGTGAAAATTGTTGTGAGTCTTCATGCTTCACAAACAGCTGTAAATAAAGTAGATTATATGATACAGAACAAAACAGGGAATTGCTTCTTTTTATTTAGTTATTTACTCATTTCTGCATTCTATATATCCCTTCATTCAGGGAAAAGTAATGAGTCGTTTTTTGTCAAGATATCCCTCGCATTGCTCACAAGTAGGCCAGCAGGCCTGTACAAGACAAGGCTAATGTGTACTGAAACTAAATCTTAATAACAAGAACTAACAGAAATGCACATTTTAGTCAGCCATGATTGTCTGTGGCAAAAATAGTCCAATTTATAGATTTATGCATTTTTTACTGTAGAGTTTTCATCAAAATGAGACTTTATCTCTCATGCAGATAGTCACTGTCAAAACCAAACGGCAAACGTCTTTATTGAAATGTTGGGAATAACTCTCCATCTTGCGGGACAGCGACCAGGACGGGCTGTGCAGCTGGTTCTGCTTCAAGTTCACGGACAATCTCCAGTATTTGTACTTCACTGTTTACTTCTTGCAATTCAACCATCAGATTTAGAGCAGATCAGTGAATTAAGTTTTGTAAATCAATTCACCAAGTTACTTAAAAACAATGTCTGTCAAAAAAAATCATACATTAAAATAAAGCTGAAGGTCTTGAAGCTGTTGAATAAACATTTTTTTTTTTTTTACCGACAGGACGTCATTGGTTAATCCATCATTTTAGAAAGGGGTGAAATCATAGGATGTGACCTAATCTAAACATTGATTCAACATCTGTATCTATCTATCTGTCTGTGTCAGTCAGTCAAATAAATCTTGGACTAAAAACTGAACTCAGATAAATTTTTTTGTCCAAAATTCAGTGTTGATTTGACAACTTGCAAACTTCTCAGAAAATAATTGAATATTTGTGAATTATGCAAACATTCTGAACATGTCACTAAAGCAGTTATTCAATTACAGCAACAACAATAGGTTGCAAAGTCTGTTACCGTGTGAACTATGAATTCAGTTACCAATGCAGAAATTATGTTTTTTTTATTTTATTTTTTTTATTTTAGTTATTATTATTTATTTTTTGCAGGCAATTATCTACCTTTCAAACAAAATACAATACAGATAAGATACAGTACAATGACTTGTTAGCATAACACATGCCAAAAATAATCCAATACATTATTCTTTCTTATGCTACCGGGGTAATTAAGTATTTAAGACATTTTTTTGCACAAGGTTTTTTGTTTTTGTTTTTGTTTTTTTTGTTTTTTTTGGGGGGGGGCTGCAAACACTTTTTGAATATTGATTTAAAAAGTAGCAGGTTCAAGTTAACTCCCTAATTTGTCCAACTAATAATCATCCAACGTTGTGTGGTTTTTGTTTCCCTAATATTTTTAATTCTTACTGTATCTTTAGATTCTAACAACCTTAGTATGTCAGCAGATGTGTAGCAAAATCCATCTTTTTAAAAACATTATCTTATATAAATGGTGTCCAATTTTATTTGAAAAGGTTAGAAACTATTACGCTTAATAGTAAGAGTCTGCTTTTCTTTTATGCAAGAGGAGCATGAGTGTGTATAAATGTCCAAGCAGAGCACAAAAGAGCAAAACCGTGTCCACACAGTCTGATTAATGAGAGGGTGGAGGGAGCATTTCATTTGTATTTGCTATGCTCCACTAAATAGTCACATTGACCTGCTCCCGTCTGCCACACACTGCAGAATGGATCATAAAAACAGAGAATGGATGATTAAGCAATTCTGTGATCCAGAACAAGGATCACAACAAAAAGCTGAGGAATAAGCAAAGTGATGCCTGCGGCTTGTTCATTAAAAGGTTAGAAATTACAAACTTGTTGGTGCTGCTGCTACTTCTGCTTTGAAACAGAACGCACAGATGGGACTGATATGATTCAGCTAGATCAGCGAGTGTGACAGCCTGCAGTGTCTGCATGGAGTTAGGATGTACCCTTACTGCCTGGGTTGTATTTTTATTTATTTTTACCTGATACTTTGGATGTCTAAAACTGTTTTTTTTTATTTTTCCCCCCAAACACACAACACATAAGTGTACTGGTCTAAAACACACAAACCTCGATGAAAAAGTCTCTACATAAATGAACGTTTCACACTGTAGAGGTGCAAATCTCATAGACGTGTTTCTTGTTTTTGGTTTATAAAATTTAAAACAGAATGAATACATATCCACATACTTTTATTTTGTTGTTCTTTAATCTTGTTTTATGTATGTTTATGCATTATGATTTATATAGCAATGTGTTGTCTTAGAAAAACTGTAAAATCCTTTGGTTTTTTTTATGTAGCATATGAATACATTAGTATGTAAAAATAGCTAGTATAATAATAAACAGTGTGTAATGCCTTTGTTCTCAATTTGAATAAAACTGAAACAGTCCCAGGTGTAATAAAACAACAAAAAAGTTTTGTTCCTCAGTATAACTAAACAATGCAGATTAGAAATAGAAGTATTGTGCAAATAAAGATATAACTAACAATTGCTTTAAAAAAGGGGGAGGGGGCATTATTGTAATGGCAATTCCATGAGAACCACTGAACTAACTACAGAACCTGGCACTAGCCAAGCTCTGTAGATTCTCCAAATTCTCTGAATTATGTTTTAGCTTTTTCCAGCTAATGCAAAGAAAGAAAGAAAGAAACAAAAATAAATGTATGTTGAACTTGCTTTAGAAAATATCCATCAGATGTTGAAAAAAGAAAGAGACAAAAGAGTTAAAAGATGCAAAAGAGTTAAAAGATGAGGGAAGAAAACAATTAGTAAAGCAGGAGATGAAGAAGAGAACTCCACACTTTTTAAACTATTGTAACTAAAATGGTAAGTTGGTAGCCTTTAGTAATTATTACATCAGCTTTAGCTTCTCATATAGCTGTTACCAACAGCAACCAAGTGAAGAAAATGATGCACAAAGAGGAAAAAAAGGAAATGATGTAAGAAACTGCCTTGAAGCAGATGGTCCACAAACTTTTCTGAAGTAACAAGAACTACTTTAATTAATCTTCAATAATACTGATAGTATATTGTGTAGAAAGAAAAATAAAGTGAAAATGAGACATTTTTTTTAAGGATAATAAACTCAAAATAAGAGAACTGGTAAAAACATAGAAAGCTTTGTAATGAAACCTATTGGGCATTTATTTTAAGAAAAATGTGACTGTAATGAAAAAATAAAAGCAAAGAAATTTAAAAAAATACCATATCAGCACTAAATCACCCTAAACACAGGTGTGTAAAAAAAGTATGCATAAAAAGTGAATTATTATTAATTTTTACAAGAACCATAAAGGTTGTTTTATCACTGCTTCTTATGGATACTATCAGCAGTGTCAGAATTATTATTTCCTTGTGCACTTGCTAGTTTCTGGCCCTGATTATGTGATACCTTTCCTGTAATTATAATGTTGGGAATCCTAACTCCTGGTAGGGTCTCCCATGGCAAACAGTCCTTGGGGGAGGGGTCAGACTAAGAGCGATTAAAAAACCCTTGATGGCAAAACAACAGTAGCATCAGGAAGCCTCACCCAGAAAAGGGAAATCGGGGCACCTCGCTGAAGCCAGGCCTGGGGGCAGGGAGCTTGCCAGTGAAAGCTTGGTGATAGAGTGTTAGCTCTTGAGATTTGGCCAGGCCAAGCCTGACAGGACAGGAAGCCACTACCATGTGGGCCCACCACCTGCTGGGAGGTCCATCAAGGTTGGGTGTGATTAATGCTGGGCAGCAGGTGAGGGAGGGTCCCTGGTCATGCTGACTCTTGGCGGAATAGATTGGCTCTAGGGACGTGGAACATTACCTCATTAGTGAGTAAGAAGCTGAAGCTTGTGTGAGAGGTTGAGCAGTGCCAACTAAATATAGTTCGACTCACCTCTACATACAGCTTGGGCTCTGGAACCAAACTCCCTGAAAGGGGCTGAACTCTCTCCTACTCTGGAGTTGCCCAGAGAGAGAGGTGTAAGGCAGGTGGGAGAATACTCACAAGCCCCCGGCTGAATGCCTCGATGTTGGAGTTCTCTCCCATGAACGAGAAGGTTGCCTCTATGTGGCTTTGGGATGAAGGAGAGAAGGTTCTGACTGTTGTTTGTGCTTATGTGTCAAACATCAGTTCAGATTACCCAGCCTTTTTGAAGTCTCTGGATGGTGACCTGGAAGGGGTGCCATCTGGGGCTTCCCTCGTTTTATTTGGTGACTTCAATGTCCATGGGGGCAATGATATAATTTTCTGGAAGGGGGTGATTGGGAGGAATAGCCTCCCTGATCTGAACCTGAATGGTGTTCATTTAATAGACTTTGGTGCTAGGCATGGGCTATCCATAATCAACACCATGTCTGAACATAGGGTTGTTCATAAGTGTACTTGGTACCCACCATAGGCCAACAATTGATGATTGATTGTATAGTCATATGATCAGACCTGCAGCCATGTTTCTTGGACACTCAGGTAAAGAGAGGTGCAGAACTGTTAAATAATCACAAAAAAAAAAAAAAAA